CAAGCCTTACAGGTAGTTTTTGTTTTCCTTGGTCCTGCCACAACTGCTTGATAGTTTCTGCCTGAATTTCCACCACCACCATCAGGTCAAGGCTAATGACCAGTCTGGCAGGCTGGGATAATTTGGCTTTAACATGCAGTTACAACATCACCCTGACTTTTGAAGGACAAAGCAGAATCTAGATCTGATGTTTGGACACATGTGAAAATGTTTGAGTTTCGTCCCTCGACCACAAATAATCTCCAAAGTTCAAGGTTAGTGTCAGCATTAAAATCAAACCACTGTTCTCCATACAGGAAAGGATTTGGATTAATTTCTGTAAGGGAGTGGTGGGAGTCCTAATTGTTGAAGGGTAATAAAGCAAAGCAGAGCTTTGTAGAATAAAGTTTTATCCTGCACTGATCCAGCAGATAAAAGATATGTTTGAGGGCTATAAGATCACAGTGGCTGTAGCCCATAAGGGATTGAGGTTGCTCTCCTTGGAAGCCTCACCAGATACAAGAAGAGAACCATAAATAATACAAGATTTCCCCAAGGAAATTTTTAGATATCTAGAGAGGATATTTGCTGCTGTCTGACCTTTCAGGGGTTCACCACAAGCTGATGCCATCCTGCCAATGATACTTCATGTGGAAAATAAATTATCAGGTGCAGACAAGTCTATGGACCGGTCACCTATTTGCACCCAACCAAACCTTTTCATCCCCTTACATCTCAATTTTCCTGCCCAAATGACCTAAATCCCCCTTTGATTCCTCTCCCAAACACTCTGTCCTGTGCAGTGCCAAAATGCTCTTCCCCTACACACCATAGGATCCTTGTCTCCCCTGCCTTGACACAATCCCCCTTATCTCAGGTGGTGATAAAGAGATGTTTCTGATGACACATCTCCATGGGCGCCATGCTGGGACCATGGGGATGATGCTCTGCTGGGGCAGCCCAGGGAGGAACCTGGGCAAAACCCTTCTTCCTTGGAAGCTCTGAATTTGGGTTCCCACCTGCCAATCTGACCCCATGCTCCTCTTGGCTTCCAATGGGCTGATGGTCTTTGGGATGGGGCTGGGAGTAGCCTGGCAGGACACGTTTTGTCTCTCTGTGCAGATTAACCTCTATCCCATAACCAACACAACACACAGCAGCAGCACAGGAGGAGGAGGTAACAACAACAGCCATGATAAGCATTAAGCAAACAAGATCATATCAGTGGTGGCATTGCACGGATCTGATAACGACAGGATCAGACAATTTGTCCCATAGGTGACACCAGAACAAACAACACCACCAGGACTCGCCAGGTTAAAAGCGTGGCCGGTATCTGAACTGAATATCACGGACAGGCTGCATCGTCCCGAATCCCCAGCGGCTGCTGTCTATGGCTGGGGTCTCCTCCTCCTCATTGACCAGCTCCAGGTCAAAGTGACTCAGCATCAAGAACACAAACAGTTTCATTTCAGCAGTAGCAAAAAACCGCCCTGGACAAGTGGAAACTCCTGCTCCCCAAGGCATGCTGACAAATTTCAGCTTCTTCCCGTTTCGATAGAAATCTTTCCTGGTGCCGTCTGGGTTTACAAAACGGTCGTACTTAAATTTATGAGGCTCCTCATGGATTTCTGGGTTCATCTGCACTGAGATGTGTGGGAACAGAGCCACCCTGTCCCCCCTGCGGAGCGTGAACTCTGTGCCACTGCTTGTCCTCAGGGAGGTGTCCTCGAGGACAGCTCTGACCAGCATTGGGGCTGCCACCAGCCTCAGGGTCTCCTCCAGAGCACTGTCCAGCAGAGGAGTCTGGTTCAGCATGTCCCTAGTGACAGTAACTGGGGGGCTCCCTGCCTTTACTTCCTGCCCACTCTCCCTCAAGACCTTATCCACCTCATCTCTCACAGCCTTCAGAGCCTCTGGATGCTTCAGCAGGTAGAAGAGGAGCCAGAAGGCAGAAGGGCCCGTGTTGCCTTGGGATGCCCAGAGGAGCATGAACATGAAACGATCCCGCATGTACTTGGGGATGCCATTTCCTGCCAGAAGTTGCTCTTGATCACTTATCCAGCCACTGACGTTGTCCTTCTGACAGACCTTCTTTACGGACAGCACGTTCCAAAAGTGTCTCTTCAGCCGCTCAGCCTCTCTTTTGTCCTTGGGAGGCAACAGAGCAAAGGCCAGGTGAGGGAAGAGGCGGTCGTACTTCCGAAACTCCTGGAAGAGCTGGTTGGAGTGGAGGCGATCCTGCTCTTCAGCTTTCTCCTTGTTCCCTGTCCCCTGGGGTGGCTCGCTGCCATACAGAGCCAGGTACCCAGCTCTGAAGATGATGTTGTAGCAGTAGTGGAAGAGGTTTTCCTCCTGCCACACTCTCTTCTCTCCTGAGCTCAGGTTGAAAAGCAGCAGCTTCCGAAAGCTCTCCATGGTGGCTTGTGTGAGGAGAGTGAGGCCATCTCCCATCAGGTGCTTTGTGCTTGCTGCATGAACTATGTTACGAGTGGCTTCGGTGGGCTTGTAGCCAAAAACCTGCACGACCAGCTGAGTTGCACTAGTCCTAAAGTCCAGCTTAGATCGCGACTCCTTCACGATGGTGCCAAAGCAGAAGGGATCCATCACAAAGGTGAAATAATAGCCACCGATCAGCACAGTGAAAACATCCCCGTGTTTGCTCTGCATCCTTTTGAGAAACTCTGAGCTGTCCTTTCTGAATTCCAGCAGATAGCCCAGCCAGGGAATGGTACCTTTGTCCAGGGGTGGCTCACTGGGTCTCTGTCTCCGAAACACACCCAGGACATAGAGCCCACCGAGCAGTGATGACACCAAGGTACAGAGGAGAACCACCCAGAGCACCATGAGACCTCTGATCCGTCCAGGAGCTGGAACTAGAGGCAGCTTGGGGTGGGAATGTGCTTTTTATCCCCAGCCAGCAGCTGATAGGCAGATGCAGAGCTGACAGCCTCTGTCCCCATTGGCTGTGAGTGTTTGCCTCTGGCAGAGCTCTCCGGAGTGAACTAGTCCCTGGATGAACACAGATTTTTAAGGTGGAAGGTATGTTGGAATCCTGTTGGAGTATCCATGCTGTATTTGGGATGAGTTTTGGCATGAGGCAAGTTCCCTTCTCTAGGCTGCAAGGAGCTCAGATTTTGTAAGGAAAATGTTCAGAGAATCCCACTCTGTGATTTTTGCCTTTAAGACCAGGCTATGGACACCCACTGAAAAAATGAAATCAAGAGGGGATGTTGGAAATGCTACTGGAAATGAGCACAGGATCGATGGAAGGGGGTCACAGCTGAGCTGATTTGGTCTCAAAAGCCAAGAGAAGGAAAAGTCTCTCTGACATTTTGGTGATCTCCACAGCACATGGTGTCCCAGGAGTGCTTTGCCAATGAACAAAGCACTACTGCTCTGTCTGAATGCAAAGCAAAGCAGCTGAGCTGCCCCACGAGTTGGGAGAGCTTGAGCCACTGCATTTGCTTGGCACCAGAGGAGTCCAGAGTTTCCAGATGCTCCACCCAGCCCCTGGCTGGGGAGCAGCGCCCATAGGGACCACAGCACTTCTGCTTTACCCACTTTCCCTTCTGCTTCTCAAACTCCCCTGTTACCTCCCTCCAGATGGGGTTTGGGGACAATGCCAGGGACCCCATATCCCAGCTGGCACTGCTCCTCTGGGTGCTGCCATCCTGATCTACCCAGACTGCCACCACAGCCTGTCCCAGCCACTGGTGCTTGGACCTCTTCTCGTGCAGGATGGAGAGTGACATTAACTCCCCTCTCTTTCTCACCTTTGGTCTTCCCTAGAGCATCCCATCATGAGTTTTCCACAGTCCCAAGAGCCTTCCTCTGCCTGGGATCACAATCTTCATCTTTTTAGCTTCCCAGCTGCTGTCTCTTTCCATGTTCCCTCTAGTGACCTGACCCAAGGAGTGATGGTCACGTTATAGCATCAGCTAAATATTTATCTTGGCTTTGTTTTTTTTAAGGAAAGCTCCCAACCTTACCATTTTGGAAAAACACTGTAGCAATGTTGGGAAGAAAAATAACAGCAGCGATCAACTCAAAGCCCTTCTCAGTCCTGTAATCTTATGTACTAATAAAATAAATGTGATGAGGCTTTCTTTTAAATTCATGATTTTATTTGTACAACTCTAGGCAACTTCCAGACTTAATAGATTTACAGGATGGAAAGGGAGTATTTAATGTTCAGGAGCATTTGGGGTGAATAATGCCTTTAAATAAAAGTCAGCAAACTCAGAACCTTGAACTTCAAAGCTGCATTGGGTAATAAGGATTGACCATCAGCTCTCGTGCTCTTCTGTTCAGGCCATGTTCTCACTCTTGTTGTGTTTCAAAGCCAATATTTATGTTATAGCTCATACCCATGGATCTTTTTTATCTTGTCAAACTGAATCGTGGAAGGCAAATACCTCCACCACTGTTCTGCTGAGCCCCCTTTTTATCTCTTTCTCACTGTTACTGGTCTGGACTGTGTTCTGCTCAAACTGTCTCAAATCAGCTGATGATCAAACTGATCTCTAACCAAGGCTCTGCCCCTTGGAGAGTCACAGTTCCCTGCTCAGCAGGTCTGAGTGTGCCACAGCTCATCATGACAGAGAACAGCTCAGCTTAAAGATGTCCAGTCCTTCCTGTTGTATCTCCTGGTAGAAAATGAGATTATCCCAGTTAAATCATCTGGCAGATGGTAAGAGCCAGATCCCTTGGCAGTCTTTCTGGCCTGATGGATGAGCATGAAATTCCATCCATGGAAAGCCTGCGCCAGGGAGGAGGATAATTTCTCCTCAAGTCTTAGTTTGCATTTTTTAAGGCACAACATTGAGAAATCTGATTCTGTGTTTGCTTCTGCCTCCAGATGAGAACTGGGTTTCTTCCACTAGTGTAAATACAGGACAATTCTTTCATAATTCCACTTGCAACAGAGAGATCCCACATGTACTTTTCCAATCTCAGTATGGATTGGAAACCTCATCTCAAGATTGTTGCTAGGATGAACTATCTGGTTAAACAGTGCTGTGGGCTCACACCAACTCCATCACAGGCAGGACAGAGGGCTCACACATAATGTAAATATTTATGATGCATTTGTGATGCTCAACATTTCTATCTCAGCTGCATGTCTGCTGCAAGACAGGCTTGTCTGGGAGTCCTGAATGGAAAAGAAGGCTCCTCTCCTGAAAATGGCCTGAGGGATCTTCCACAAATATGCCCTGAACCGTTTCTTCACAAAAGCATAGAGCAAGGGGTTGAGACAGCAGTGGACAAAGGACAAGCTCTCGGTGATCTGCAGGGCATAGTCCAGTTTCCTACTGCTTTCACAGCTCCTGATCACACCGACATCTTGCAGGGAGTGGAGGATGAGCACAACGTTGTAAGGACACCACAGCACAAAGAAGACTCCCACCAGAGTAAGGACCAAGCAGAGAGCTCTCCTGAAGCCAGGTATCTGTGAGGTGTTGAGCACACACGCGATGCGGGAGTAGCAGAACGTCATGAAGAGGAAGGGGAAAAGGAATCCCAGGATGTTTTGAGTCACCCGAAAGACAACTTTCCAAAATAAATGTTCCTGGCCATAATCCTGGGTGCACATTATGGTTTTGTTGCGAGTTTGCCTTGTGCTGGTGAAGAGGCCATCAGGAATGGAGAGAGCTATGGAAAGTATCCACATCACCAACAAGATGAGGATGGAATTCCTCCACACCTTGGAGCTGTGAGGAGACCAAGCATGAACTATCTGCAGATACATGTCCAGGCTCATGCAGCTCACAAAGAAGATGCTACTGTAGAAGTTCAGAGTGTACATGGCACTTAAGAATGGGCACAAGATGTCCCAGGTGACCCACTGAGAAATGTGCAGAGCCCAGAAAGGAAGGGTCAGTAGCAGGAAGAAGTCTGAAACCACCAGGTTCATCAGATACAGCTCAGTCATCTTCTTTTTCTTCTTGATGTGCATGAGGAGGACAGTAAACAGTAGGGCATTCCCAGCCATTCCAACCAGGAAGATCGCGGTGTAAAATGATGGCAAGAACACCCTGCTGAAGGACAGGACCTCCTCCTTGGTGCAGAGGCCATAGAGCCCATAATCCTCCTCATCCAGGTACTCGTACGGGTACTCACTCAAATTGGCAGCATCCAGCCACGTGTCTGTGGTTGTTGCTGTCACTCCCGACGTTGTGTTTGACCAGTGGCTGCCTAAGAGCAAGGGAAAGAGATCAAGGTGTTGTTCCAATTCACACAGGAAGCAAAGAGCACATCACAGAGGGAATGTGAATCACATCTTTGAGACACAGAGATGTTTAGTTCATAGAATCACAGAATGGTTTGGGTTGGAAGAGACTTTCAAGATCATCTTGCTCCAACCTTTGCCATGGACGGGACACCTTCCACTGTCCCAGGCTGCTCCAAGCCCTGTTCAACCTGGCCTTGAACACTTCCAGGGATCCTGGGGCAGCCACAGCTTCTCTGGGCATGCTGTTCCAGGGCCTCACAGCAAAGAAATTCCTCCCCTTTTTGGTCCAAACCTACCCTTTTTCAACTGAAAGACCCATTACCCCTTGTCCTGTCACTCCATGCTCCTGTAAAAAGGCCCTTTTTGTCTTTCTTGTAGGCTCCATTCAGACACTGGAATTTCACTGGTTTAAATTTCTGCCACTGTCTGGTGAGTATTTTTTGTCCTGAACAACTTGGCCTTTGCCTGAGCATGGGGATAGCTGTCTACATGTACATATTCAAACAAACAAACAAACAAACAAACAAACAAACAACCTAAAAAAACCCTAAAATTAATTCTGCTTTCCTTACTCAAACACATAAAACTCAAAAATGAATGCACATGGTTTCCCCTGACAGACATCACTACTTCCTCCTGGCACCACCACAAGCTTTTAATGAAGTTTCTGCTCTAAATTATAGGAAATCCACCAGCACAGCTCCCTGTGAGCTGCTTATATTCACCTTGGTCACTACTGAAAAAGCAGCATCTCAATTCTTGGTAAAGAAGAACCTGCCACCAGCCTTTATGTCAGTGAGGCTGTTCCCCAAGGTGAAATGCTGAACATCTCCCTGCTCCTGGGAGGACACTGAGGCCTCTCCATGCCAGCTCTAGGCCAACAAGACATGGATTCTGGAAAAAGGCATTGGTGAGTGGAAAATACAGAATTCACAGGATTCCAGAATGGTTTGGGTTGGAAAGAACCTTGAAGAACATCTTGTTCCAACCCTCCTGCCCTGGGCAGGGACACCTTCTATTATCCCAGGCTGCTCAAAGACTCATCCAAGGTGAGGGCATTTAGGCACCAGAATCCAGTCCTGAATTATGGTGAGAAAGAGAGATTCAGCTGGAAGAACACTGCTGGAATCAATTCTGCTGAGACAATGCATGACACAACCTCTGCACTGGTCACTCCCTGGAACTGTGGACGTCATTGTTTAGATGGCTGCAGCCCAGATTTCAGGAAATGGTGAGTGATTGGGAGCCTCCTACTTTTGGCATCTGATTTTCAGGAAAAAAGCTGTCACTGAGGAGCTCATTTCACATAGTAGGAGATGGGATTTGCCTGGTGCTGTTGGCACTTTGAAGGTTAATGAGGAGTTTAATCATCAAGGTTAATCTGGCAGCAAAACAAAACAGTTTTGCAAAAAATCATGTGAACACCCCTCTACCCCTAAAGCGCACATTTTTTCAGCCATGGCCAAAGATACTCATCTTTTCCCTGGGACTCATTTTCCAGGAATCCCAAACAGCCTTTGCTGTGTAGCTCCAGTCTCTCCTCAAGGATCTGTTTTTCCCTCCAGGATTTGCAGCCACTCAGAAATGAGAACATGAAGCTGTTGGTCCCTGGCTATGCTGTGCATCCCATCCAGGACATATCCCATGGTGGATCTGCAGGTTTTAGGCTCCCTCCCCACAAACACCCAGGGAAAGGGGTGCCCCTCCACCCCACAGGCTCAGAGTGGGTGTGCAGCTGTAAAGGGTGAAGCTCTGCTCGTACCCGCTGTGGTCCCATGACTGAAATTGCTTAAATACGCATTCCAGGCAGTTCCAGGCAGCTGAAAAGAAAAGAAAAACTGGGTTTGAGCTGGATTGAAATGTTTTCATGCAGTCTCACAGTTCTTTGGCAAGTGCTGCAGAGCACTTTGGACAGAGCAGTGGGGGAGCAGGGATCTGCCACGGGAAAGTGCCACAAAAAGACTTGTCTGGGAATGAGCTTTTTAACATTTATTTTTTTGTATCATATTTTGGAGGAAATTCACCCTCAGCTGTGACTGCAGACCCTCGAGAGGAAACCAAAGCTGCGCACCTTGCTGATAACAGCAACACCCGAGACTCATAAACACCTTCCCCCTCACACCCCCCTCTGCCCACACCAGGATATTCCCAAAATTTGCATTTGGGCTCTCTTCCAGCCCACTGAGATGCCTTTTCTCGCTCTCCCAGATCCTTCTCCCTCCACATTAGCCCAGCACTAGCGTCCGCATCCCCATCCTGTACCCCAGAGTGGAAGGGAGGGCTGAGCTCAGGAATTAATCCTGGCCCCAAGCTGTCAACCATTCAAAAACAAAAGAGAGCCTTGCCAGGTTTCTTGTGTTGCCTTGTCTACAAGCAAGAAGCAGAAAAGGCACTTACAGAAGCTTCTTCTCTTTCCATTCTCCCAGAGGCTTGAACCAGGCTTTTAAGAACTTCTTCCATTTGTGTAAGAGGACAGTCAGGAAATGTGAGCTCAGCACAACCTCCCCGGTTCTCTTTTGTTTTTTCCTGCTTTTCATCACTCCCTGTCCGTCCTGGAGGATTGATCTCCACTCTGGGTTTAAGCGTAACCTCTAGAACAGCTCCCACTAGGCTGAGTCCCTGCTACAAAATCCACGTGTTTTCCAGGAAATCTGATGCTGCAGGGTTCTCATCCCCTGCCAGAGCACAAATGGTCTCTATCAAAGGTGTTTCTGATGAAGCAGTTTATTGCAGGAGTTTTGGGCATCAGCAAGGGTTAGTGGTCACACTCCTGCTCATTTCCTCATCTCACCAACAAACAGGGCTATGTAACACCCTGGCTGTGCCAAGGCTTCCCCTGTGCCAATCCCAGTGCATTTTACACACACCAAACCACCCTGGTAAAAACAGGAGAGCAGAGCAGCAGCGATGGCCACAGACCCACATCCACAGAGATTCACAGAGGATTCACAGAGAGAAATTTGTTCTTATTACCCATTTCCATGTTTGCCACCATCAGCTGCTGCTGCACTTTAAATATACCATGTAATAAATAAATATATATTATTATTATTACTATGTGTGTGCAACACACACATTAGCAGAGAGCAAGAAGCCACTTGTAGAGCTGAGACGCTGGACACACACACAAGGAAGCTGCAGGTGACAGAGGTTTCATTAGGCCAGCAATTAAAATGAAATAAGTTTTTGTTTTTAATTGAGTTTCTGCCCTGAAGCAGAGAATTAAACGTGCCTCTGAGAGTCACTGGAGAAAGTGGCCTTCGCTGTAATTTATTACAAGATTTTAACTCAATTTCAGGGCTGGTAATTGCATTGATTTTTTGTTTCATTTCAGACTGCAGGGCCCTGATGGCTTTGGCAATTAAAATAACAAGATTAGGGGTAATGGGCAGCACATTTAGAGAGATGCAGCGCTTGTCTGCTGCCCAAAATGCCAAATGTCGGTGGCAGAGTGACCCTGCAGCTGCAGCAGCTCTGCCTCCCCCCAGCTTGGAGATGAGGAGGTACAAACACCACACAGGAGCACTGGGCTTAGGGACAAAATTATTTATCTCAGCTGGTTTTCTATGACAAGCTGTTCTCAGACTTAGGAAAAGATTTTTTGGGGATCTTTGGGATCCCTCTGGATTCTTCTTCCTCTTCCAGCGTACGGTTTAAGTCAGGAGCAATTTCAGGCTGTCTTTGGGCATCAAAATCCTTGCACAGAGTGGGGGTAAAACCAGGTCTGCCTGAAAGATGAAATATGGGAAAACATAGTCAATGACATAATTCAGCACCAAGAAAATCAGACTGAAGCAAAGCCAGAGAAGCTGTGGCTGCCACATTCCTGGAAGTGTTCCAAGTTGGATGGGGCTTGGAGCAACCTGATCTGGTGGAAAGTGCCCCGGCCCATGGCAGGGGTTGGAACAGGATGAACTTTAAGGTCCCTTCTAACCCAAACCATTCGATGATTTTGACATCAGGTGGAAGATCTTCAGCAAAGGACTAAGTAAGAGCCTAAATTTCACAGAATCTCCAAAGGGTTTGGGCTGGAAGGGACTTTAAAGACCATCTCATCTAATAGGGAAGATGTGTGTTGATGTCTTTACAAACAATTCCATGGGTGAGGGGATGGTTGTGAAGGGCTTTGAAATGGGGCTTAATGTTTCTACCAAGTTCAAGCAGCAGGTTTGTTACAGAACCTGGACAGTTTGACTCCTGAAACAGCCAAATGGGGCTGCACAAGCCTGAGTTTCTGAACTTTGGGGTAAATTATGTGTTCAAGGGGGGATACGTGGCAGGGGGTTTGGGACGGCTGCACCTCCCTGGTACCTCGGCCAGTGGGGGAAGGAAGAGGGCAACGAGTGGCGGAGTTTGGGATAAAAGGAGGCTGCACCCTCCGAAACCTCGAGAGAGAAAACCCACGGGGATGTGCCCCAGCGGCCTCGCTGCCTTCACCCGAATAAAGCTGCAGGACTCCTCTGTCTCCTTTATGGACACCGGCTTTTCCCAGAGGGATTTGCTGTACAGTCTCATCCCCTGCCATGGGCAGTCACCTTCCATGGGCAGGGACATCTTCCATGGAGGGACATCTTCCATGGCAGAGTCACCTTCCATGGGCAGGGACACCTTCCATGGCAGAGTCACCTTCCACGGGCAGGGACATCTTCCATGGCAGGGACACCTCCGTGGGCAGGGACACCTTCCATGGAGGGACATCTTCCATGGCAGGGACACCTCCATGGGCAGGGACACCTTCCATGGAGGGACACCTTCCATGGCAGGGACACCTTCCATGGAGGGACACCTTCCATGGCAGGGACACCTTCCATGGCAGAGTCACCTTCCATGGCAGGGACACCTTCCATGGCAGGGACACCTCCATGGGCAGGGACACCTTCCATGGAGGGACATCTTCCATGGCAGGGACACCTTCCATGGCAGGGACACCTCTCACTGTCCCAGGCTGCTCCAAGCCCCATCCAGCCTGGCCTTGGGCACTTCCAGGGATCCAGGGGCAGCCACAGCTGTTCTGGGCACCCTGTGCCAGGGCCTCACCAACTCCCAGGGAACAATTCCTTATCCCAATATCTAATCTCTTCCATCTAATCTAATCTCTTCCTTTTTCCGCTGTTTTGGAGCGGCCCCGGCACCGGCTGAGGCGGGGCCGGCCCTGAGGGGGGGGGCGGACCCCGCAGCGCCCCCTGCCGGCCGCGCCACCCCCGCCGCAATGCGGAGCGCCGCGCGTGACGTCACCGCGCAAGGAAGCGGCGCTCACCACCGCGCTCCGGATTGGCCGCCGGCGAGCGCGCGGGCGCGGGGCACGCTGGGAGTTGTGGTCCCGGCGGAGGGGCGGGGCGGAGGCCGCCAATAAGAGGCGGGGCGGGGCCGGGCGCGGCAGATGCCGGCCGGTGCGGGACGCGCGTGGTGAGAGCCGGCTCGGGGGGGAGACGCTACCGGGGACACGGCCCCGGGGCCGCACGAGCAAAGGTTTCCATGTGGGGGGATGTGATTGGGGCAGGAGCGGAGCTGGGGGACATGCGGCACAAGGCCGGAGCGCGGTGAAGGTGCCTGCGGGTCTCCATGAGGAGTGCGGCGGCCTGGGGCTGGAGTGGGGAAGGGTCCGCCCGTGGAGCTGGGCAGACGGAGGGGGTACCCAGGGCCTCCCCCTTGCCGGGAGGATGCTGGGACCTGTCGCCTTCCCACCCGTGGTCGTGCCTCAGTGTCGCCCGCGGTGCCCTGAGCGCCCTGTTCGGTGTCGGCAAGGTCAGGGCAGCCGGGCCGTGTGTTTCACCCCGTTTCTTCTGCCCTGTGCCCATCTTGGTCTGAGCTGAAGGTCACAGGAACTTTCTCGCGGTGGATGAATTGTTTCACTTTTAATATAATTTTCATGTGTAAGTCTTACCTCTGGCTGTCGCCTCCTCTGCTAAGTGGTGGAAAGCTCTTGTTTCCTTCTATGAATGAGTCAGGCTAAAATGATAGCTTACATTTAGCCAATAAGAATGGTTGTAGCAGGCGTAGAGAGACCAAATCCTTTGGCCTTGCAGAGGAAATGGTTTGAGAACCAGTCAGACTGCTCACACGGGTGTGCACTGAATGCTGTGTAACCACGGAGCATGGCCACCGTTGAAATGTGTCTTCAGCCTAAGGTTACTGGCACCTGCTTAATGAAATTCCTCTTGGTTTATTCTGAGAGCTTGGAGCCTTTCTATGTGCCCCTGAGCTGTGTTTTGCTGTTGGTGGCAAAGCTGAGCGATAGCAGTAGAGATTTTTCTAGCAGGGCCCTCTGTGTTGTCACTGGCAGAAATTATCATTGACTGAATGGAGTACTGAGGAGGGAACAGGTCTTGGTGTAATCCATGCAATTCCCAACACAAAAGGCTGGGAAGTTCTGGAGGATGATCTAACTTTGGTGATGATGGTTCTGTGAGTGGAGCCCTTCTCAAGCTGTTGCTGCTTTTTATTTTCCTTGGGGGAAGGTGAGAAATCACCTGTGGATGGCTTCTCCTCCTGATGCGACCTCACAGGAGTTTGCATCCATTGAGGACTTGCTCAGCAGCTCCTTGGCGGTGGCTGTTCCCCTTCCCTGTGTTCTCCATTGGGAATTTGGAGTTCTGTTGATGTGGGATAGTGACTGAGGAGCTGCCAGGCAGGGCTGACCTTGTGCAGCAGCTCGTGCTTCCCAGCCCAGCTGCTGTGGCTGCTGCTCTTGGCAGGGAATGAGGGGAGAGAAGTGAACTTTGCTGAGGTCAGAACGGCCATAAAGGACCAGCCTGCGAAAGCTAAGCACTGTGGTGAGGCATGGAATTCCTAAAAGGAAGGGCAGGCAGTGTCCAAAGCTTTCTGTGGCTGCCTGTGAGCATGGGGGGGATCACTGGGATCTCTAATGGTGTGAAAACGGATGGCAAAAATTTGTTGCTCTCCTACTTTTTTTGGTTTTGTTTTGTTCTTACCTCTCCTAGTAAGCACAGTCCTGCTTCCCAAGCTTCACTTGAATTTAGCCATCTGTTCATGGTGCCTGTTCTTATATCTCACTACCTGGCTATTTGTGACAAGGGATTTTCTTTTCCTAAAGATTCTCTTTATCTGGGGTTTCCAAAACCTGAAGGGACGTTCTTTGTCTTCACAGCCACAATGTCACCCAGCCAGGAATCTGTTCTCCCTGACTATGAGACAGAGACCAGCCAGACCTCAAAGCTGCTCAAAAAATTTAAGGAGACGCCGTTTGTGCCCATTGGTGAGTTCAAAAATGGAGAAATGTTTTTGCACAATCAATGTGGGAAACACCATCACTGTTCACCTTTTTTCTGTAAACAGGAAATTACTTAAAAATTACCTCCCCCTAAGAGTTGTCCTAAAAGACAGAGGGAAATTAATGAGGTCTGTTACCTTAATTAAAAAACTCAGAACCTACAAGTGTAAGAAAAAAACCCAAATCGACAAACTCTGAAAGGATTTTTAAGTGAGGCTAGGAAAAATGG